TGAAAAAGAAAGCTGCAGTTTGATGTTGAATTTTTTATTCCACTTTTATATTTAATTGTATTCTTCTCGGATAAATAGCACTTATACCCAGAAATATAACGCGATTATCTTAAAACAATATATATATATATATATATATTTATATATTAATATATAATTTGTCTTAATGTGTGTTGTGTGTGTGTGTGTGTTCATTTTTGTGTGTGTGACGTCGTCCCTGGTCGCAGCGCCAACTGTGACGTTCTATTCTGGTCTACCACGGCACCAACTGTGATGTCCCTAAACAGCACCAATTGACGTCCTCGCCGCGGCGCCAGCTGTTCGCTCCTCGCTGCTCCGTTCGGGTGTCGCTGCTCCAACGTGACGCCCGCCTGTCACGTCAGTCGTGTTGTCTCGTCCTGTGACGACCAACTGGCTTGGTATCGGTCGCGGCACCCAAATGTGACGTTCTAACCTTTTGGTGATTCGGGTGGGAATCTGGTTAGATTTGATATCAGCCTCGTCGTTCCCAACTCGCTTCCAACGCCTGGTTACCAAGGTAACTGCATTGATCCCCAGTCTGCCTACCATGTTGTGAATTGATCTTAGGCAGACGAGATCAAACAGTGATGGTTGGGGCCGTAATGCAAACCGAGTTCAACGGGGTGATACCACAAAATATGCATAAAAGAAAATAAAATGAAAACTCAAAAGTTCAAAGTATCAAAGAAAAAGGTAACAAACTTTATGTCTAGTTGTTCGATACATAGGACTGCATCTATCTCCCGACCCGTTCTATGGATTGTAACACATCGTTTTCCGTTAGGCAAGCTTTAAAGCTTCAAGTTGTTTGCTCTCTAAGAAATTGGTGTTTCGGTGTGTCTTTGGACGAAAGTCGAAAAAAAACTTATTGTGTTAAGTCGCTCTTCAAAATAATTGTTCTTGGGTTGAAGAGGAGTCAGGAATTTGCGTGAATCTTGGTCAGCTATCTGCGAGGCGGCTTCAACTGGAGACTCAGATCAAAGTTTTCTGGAACTGAACTCACTGGAACTGCTGGAACTGATTTCTGCTCGTTGGGGCTTCGCTTATATGGACGCCGACCAAAACCGGGGTGGGTCTGTCGGCGTCGGGGGTTCCTCGATAATTCTAAATACATATCCACCTCTTTTATTTCTGGTTAGGGATTTTCCTTTTTTCCATTTTTGGGAACCTTTCCTCACTCCACCTTCTCACCATACTTCAGAGGGCGTGAACTGCCTCCCCACTTCTTCGTAGCAGCCTCTCATACCTACACTCTGGATGGGCGGCGACAGCCTCTTCGTGCGTCACGTGATCACCACTTGACCAATGATGTCTTAGTCGGGCGTGGACGAATCCGCGGCTTTGTTTCGGAAAAAAAACCAATATCTTGCTTAACTAAAAAAAATTATCCTTCTTTTCCTTTTCTTCCTCTTAATCGCCGTTATCATTTCTCTAGCCGCAAACGGGACAATATGAACAATGGCGGTCATAACTCTTGTTCTACACGTGGTTTTCGTCAGATATTTTATCGCTAATTATCCGAATGGGTGGTCTTCTTAACACGGCCAACGTCGCCCCGAAAAGACATTTCTAAATCCCCATTCATTCTTTGGCGAACATTTCTTGATAACATAATTTTATTATCGCAGGCATAAAGATGTTCCGTCGAAAGAATTCGGTCAGTGGATGGCTTTGATACAATTAATTTTTTCATATCTGCCCAAAGTTCTTTTAGTTGCCTGTTTTTCGTCACTTATCGAAATAACATTTTCATTTGAATTTTTCTTTGGCCAGTCGGTCTGATAATAAGATGCCTTCCCGTACCAATAGTTTGTTTTCATATCCTTAAATAACACAGCCGTCGCCAAAACATATCTGATTCTTTCTTTCTTTCCCTTTCTTTTTACTCAGAATTTCTCTGTCATTTTAATGACACCCTTTCGCCATTTGTTACTTATCAAAATATCCCTTATCCATTGCCTCTTAGCCGTGTGTGTGTTCTGCTTATCAGCCACGATTCGGTCCTTAGCCTCTCCTTTTCTTCTTTTCTTTCTTTTCTTTTTCTGCCTCGTTAAATGGTGCCACATATATGTATATATATATATATATATATATATATATAGATAGATAGATAGATAGATAGATTTGAGGTGTGCTATATTTACGGAAAAGTGGTCAATATCAGAGATAAAGCGTATGCAAATATAAATACAAAGTGAACATTGATGTCAACACTCAGAGGCAACAGGCTGCTTCATACCAGACGCAATCGTCAGGCTGCCTGACGATTGCGTCTAGCATGAAACAGCCTGTCTCCTCTGAGTGATAACTTCAATGTTCACTTTCATATATATATATATATATATATATATATATATATATATGTATGTATGTATGTATAGGTAGCTTTCAATGCTTATAAGTAAAACATGACACTGTTTTAATAGTGCTCAGTATCTGTGTTAGAGCCGCTACAATGTCGAATATCGACCAATATCAAACCATCTCGCTTGACGAACTTCAACACCAGTAACTACTAAAATGGATAGCATACTTAACTCAGAGAGAAAATAATGACATAATCAAGATGTTGACGTTCCACACGACTTTAAACAAACTGTTAGGGAGGGCAACCCCATTAATACTGAAAAGAGCGATAACAGTTACAGGACTTGAGAAACCTATTTTCCTGAACAATTGTTTTAATAGAAAGCTTTTATAAATTTCAACCGAAAGCAGCGCTGGTTGCTCGACAAATAAATACTAAATGTTTCCTTATAGGGGGACGGCTATTACCATTGCCATTTTAAAACGTTTAGAAATATCTGTCTTTACAATATTTATGATATATGTGAGTTGCAATTTATATCCGTTTATATCCACCTGGATTAAGGACCCCTAAAATCTTTTCATTATTTCTTCTTTATTTTTTCTCTGTTTCGGATTATTTTTCAGATTTTCAACTTACCACTATGTGAAACGAAATATTATTTTAATACTACAATATTTCTAAGCATTCATGACTTACACCTCCAATAATTATCACGAAACCTTACTATCAGCCTATATACTAACACAAATTTCTTTATACAATCACTTCAGAAATAGATTCACACAAAATGATGGCGTCACTATGAGTTCACCTGAAACAACAATTTCCACCTGCTACGTTTACAATATATTTATATTAACTAAAATTGCGAGCGAATTTTAAAATCTTAAAAAAATATTTGGCAATAACTCAGATATTAACCTAATATATGATTTCTCAGTATTAAGAGAATCTCTTTTTCAAATGTATTAATTGGTTCAAATTTATCACTACAACTTTCATCTATACAAAATTCTCAAATTTAAACTCATATCTACTAACAGAGAATTATCCTGAAAATTCATAATAGCTTGTAACATTTATAAATAACTATAAATTTAACTTCCTCTCCATGAAATGTATTCCATAACGAATTTAAAATTATAAAACTAACATTAACAATAATTCCGCTAAATATATTGTAGGCAAAAATGTAAAACTAATCTTATAAAAAGATAATAATAATTTAAATAAGAAAATCATGAAACAATTCCTTGAATTGATTTAATTATTTTTTACGGTCTGTCAACCCTTTATATGTTATTTGAAGCAGAAACATTTATTCTTCTTTTACGAGTACATAGTATATTAACATTTTCTTTAGAATAACAATGATTTTTCCAGATATGTCATACTATTAAACCCATAACTAGATGAGGAGATGCATCCATACCTTTCCCAATAATATTTGCGCGTAAGTAAATATATTGAACCCGAGTGGAATTCGAACTCGGCTCTCCGATTTCTCACTCTGAGCAGTTATAATTTCACAAACCGGAAATATTCAATTCTAGAGAAACCACTTGAAAATTAAGCACAAACTAAACGAAAAAATATAAGAATTTTCATACATAGAAAAATATCATCTATCAAAACAAAAACATAAACTCATTACTAACTATAGATGAGTAAAAAAAAAACTAAAAACAAAAAAATTAAGAGAATCACTATCAGCAATCCAAGAACAAAAAAAGAAAATCAACAAACAAATTCGCTTGTTTAATTGAAGAATTTATCATTAATAATAATAATAAAGATTAAAAATATACATATTTTGGTTACATAACAAGTATATTATCTCGGGGATTAACTTGTATTTAATCTGACACTAGCTTTATTAAATTTCATATACCCAAACAACATGAAAATAAAACAAACCAAATCCAACAAATTCTTATCAGCAATATAAAAATACATCACGAATGGCTACAAAATATTAAAAGCCTTATTCCTAAAAAGCAAATAAATCCAGCCTCAATAAAATTTATTCTATTTTAGGAACAAAGATATTCAATACATTTCATAAGTAGAAAATAATGACAATATAACACAATCTAACCTGTTAAGATGCGACACGTGAAAAAACACGACAATGGACATACTAATGCGTGAATACGAGGCAATTGGAAACCATTAATGTGACAGAAAGCTCTAGCATATGATAATTTCTTTGATAATGGCTTCTGAAAGATGAAAGGGCACAGAAAACGTTGTTCAAAGTCTGCTTGAAATATGACAAGATCTGAAGAAAAATTATTTTAAAAGAAGAACGTGGTTGGTCTTTTTGACGGGCATTATGTTGCATATTTTAAATTCTTGGATAGCTGAATCGAATATAAGCGCTTCTGCATTCAGAAAGCAATTTCTTTTTCCCCTTCATAAAACAGAAATTAATTACTGAAGTTATTGAAGGACCCAAATTTCATTTGTCGTGTCAAAAACGAATTACACTTGTCGAAAATCAGAAAAACACTGTGAATTCCCAAATGAAAACCATATTTTTTAAACATATTTCTATAGCAACGGAGGGCTGACTTTCTTATTAAACTTGCAAATTACAATCGAGTCATCTTTCCCTTTTTCGCGGACCCACCTAGAATTGATTACAATATAGCACATTTGACAAGGTTCACTGGAATAAAGAGAGAAAGAAAATGAAATATGGTAGAGAGAATGGTGGCATAAAAAAGAAAGAAAGAAGAAAGCGAGAAAGAAAAGGAAGCATGGAAGATTGAACATTAGCATATAAAAGAAAGAAAGAAAGAAAGAAAGAAAGAAAGAAAGAAAGAAAGAAAGAAAAAAGAAAGAAAAAGAACAAATATGCAGCATGACAGACTGTATGATGGCATAGAGTAGAAAAGAAAGAAAGAAAGAAAGAAAGAAAGAAAGAAAGAAAGAAAGAATGGCAGACAGGATAGTGGCCTAAAACAGAATAAAAGAAATACAGATAAAAGAAAGAAAAATAAGACAGAAATGAAATGAAGCATGGTAAACTAAATGGAGACATAAAAGAAAGAAAGAAAGAAAGAAAGAAAGAAGAGATTGATAATAGACAATAGAAAGAAAAGATAAAAAAAGAAAGAAAGAAAGAAAGAAAGAAAGAAAGAAAGAAAGAAGAGATTGATAATAGACAATAGAAAGAAAGGATAAAAAAAGAAAGAAAGAAAGAAAGAAAGAAAGAAAGAAGAGATTGATAATAGACAATAGAAAGAAAGGATAAAAAAAGAAAGAAAGAAAGAAAGAAAGAAGAGATTGATAAGAGACAATAGAAAGAAAGGATAAAAAGAAAGAAAGAAGAAGAGATTGATAAGAGACAATAGAAAAGAAAGGAAAGAAAGGAAAGAAAGAAAGAAAGAAAGAAAGAAAGAAAGAAAGAAAGAAAGGAAATGAAGCATGGTAGACTGTATGGTAATATAGAATAGAAAAAAGAAAGAAACAAACAATCAAGCAAAATGAAGCATAGTATACTGAATGGCGACATAGAATAAAAAGAAAGAAACAAACAAACCAGAAGAAACAAAGATAGAAAGAAAAAAGGAAAGAAAGAAAATGAAGCATGGAAGCTTGAATGGTGGCATAAAAAAGAAAGAAAGAAGGAAGAAAAGGAAGAAAAGAAAGAAGAAAGTGGAACTTGTATGATCAGGAAATGCAAAGAGAGAAGCACAAAAAGGATGCCACAGAATATAAACTTGTTAGAAAAAAAAGACAAAAAAAAACACAAACCAAAAGTCTTGGGCGGATATCAAGAAGGAATTGTCATTAATCATCGCCCACGAAGCCATCAACACTCTCCTAACTCCGTAGGCACGCCATCAAACTCGCCCATCCCCCCCCCAACCCTCCACCACCACGAAAAAGATTTCTGCATTTAGCACATCCATTTATCTTCGGTTATCCATTTCGCTTTGTAGATGATGCTTCATTTCTTCAGCCAGGGAAGGTGATCTAACGACGTGGCTTTCACTCTTGCTTCGACTTAGCTTCATTCTTTGATTCCATTGTTCTATTGTCTGCAGGAATTCCTCCTTTTGAATACGCACGGCAGATATTTTATTTATCCTTTATGAAAATGGTCCTTCTTTGGATTGACTTCTTTTTATTTCTTCTTCGTTGCATTTGTTTCCTGAGAAATCATTTTGTATTTTCTTTGTTTCTCCCGTAACGACGCGTTAACCCGAGTCAAATGTTGCATTCTTCATAGATTTGTTTGTTTTTTGTTCCTTTTGATTTTTTTTTCTTTGTTCCTTGTGCGTTTCTACGCATGCTGGGTCAGCTTGACAACAAAGCAGAAAGCATGAAATTCTTTATCTGGCTTTTCATAGCATCACGCTTGAATTGTTACTAATTAATAACTATCATTAAACAGGTTCTCTTCACTGCTAACCACTTGAACAGATCAAGGTTTATAATTCTAATATCTTCATTTCTTATGAGACTCTAACGAGATGAGCTTAAATTATACAAATTGTAACGTGGAAACAGTAGCATTATTATCAACAACATCAATTTCGATATTGAAATTATTTATTCTTTAATTTAATTATTTTTAATTTGATCCTTAACAAAAAAAAAAGTCATTTACCAGGTCCTTCAACTGAGGCCTAATTCAAAAAGAAACTTTTAAGAAATTTATTGACAGTTTTTAAATTATGAGAAATAGTAGTGGTAAGATTTTCTGTGGCTATCATATTGGGTTGGTGCATAATTATCAGGCGTTTTTTTTTAAACATATTTATTATGCAAAAAAAAATACAACAATTCAACAATAGCATATTTAAATGGTTATACCGGGTCGTCTGATTATCAACAGGCGTTTCTATAACGTGAAAATAAAATAATATTTTTATAAAAAAAAAAAAAGAAAGTAACCAAAACAGCAATTTTTATTAACAAATAACTCGCCAACAGAAACGCCTGATAATTATGCACCAACCCAATAATACGTGTCAGTACTGTAACTGTTATCGGCACGTAAAATGAAATCAGCGACCCAAGTTCAAACTGCGGATTAGTCTGCTGAGTTTTCTTTCGCACTAATACCTCTGGGAAAAGCATGGATCTGTTGTAGGGGGGTTGCCTTCCATCAGCATGGCTGATGCTAACCTCCAGAAGAGTGACACATTCGGCCATCACGCACTAAAATATTCTGCTGACATGAAGTGGAGTTAATTGCTAGGTTTACCGTTTGGAAATTTGGTTCCCTATGTCATGCTAAACAATTTTTCTCACTACAATCCTAGACATTTCTCTTTACAATCGTGCAGTTATAACTAAAATATAGTCTAATATATATATAAAATATAAATATAAAATATAGTCCAAAATATATAAAATGTAGTTTAAATTATATAAAATATAAATATAAAATATATTCCTACATATAGTCTAAAATATATAAAATATTAATATAAAATATAGTCTAATATATAAAAATATAAATATAAACTATTGTCCAAAATATATAAAATGTAGTTTAAATTATATAAAATATAAATATAAAATATATTCTAACATATAGTCTAAAATATATAAAATATTAATATAAAATATACTCTAAAATATATAAAATGTAGTCTAAATTATATAACATATATAAAATATTAATATAAAATATAGTCTAAAATATATACAATATATGAAAAAAATTTTATAAAATACAGACTAAAATATATAAAATATAAATATAAAATATAGTCAAAAACATAAAATATAGTCTAAAATTCTTCCATACATTGAATATTGTTCCCACATCTACTTGTTTGCTTCTGCTATGGATTTACAAATCTTTGATGAAATTCAAAGAAGAATCTGCAATGAATTTGTTCCAGTCTGCAAAATCTAAACCAGCATGAATTCACATTTATAGGAAACAATCACTACGCCCTAATCCTCAATTAAAAATAAATAACAAACTTTTACCTGTCAAACAAACCAAATGCTTGATAATAAGCTACACTTCAAAGTCTATATTAATTACCTGTGGCAGAATTGCATAAAGACACTAAATATCTTAAAAGTCCAATCAAAAAGGTAATTAGGGAACAGTCAGTAGGACAAAGTTATACATGTATAGAATTCTAATCAGAAAAAAATAGGATTATAACTTTATAGTTTATTGTAGATCGCAAAGATAGTATATTAAAAAATTTACACCCCATCCAGAATCAAGGGCTAAGATTATGTGTGAATGCATTCCGCCCCTCTCCTATGCAAGGTCTCCATATAGAGGCTAATAGACTATCTCTACGTTTAAAATGGAAAAATCTCTTCCAGAAGTATGCCATAAAACCCAGCATATAAAATACATAATTTGGGCATCCGGCATGGTTTAAGGGTCAGCAAGCCTGTCTCGCTAAATCAGTTACGACTGAAAAGTGGGTTCGATCCTCACTAGCTACCCCATACATCCGATCTTGTGCCACATCTAATTTTCGCTTAGAAAATCAATTTGGGCACACCGAGGCGGGATAATGGTTAGCAAGGCTGTCTTGCTCGAACAATTACGACAGAGCAGTGAGTTCGATCCTCACTGGGTGCCCCATACATTCGGTCTTGTGCTATATCTAAGCTGCGCTTGGAAAATCATTATAAAATACATAATTCACAGTATACTCAATTGTATAACAGCAAACCATTGGCAATACCGTTCTTTGGAATATGTATTAAGGAATCTCTTTCACAAATAGATAGAAATTCCAACAGCATAGCACTAGTTGCACCCCCAAATATCCCACCTGGAATAATCACAGAACCAATAGTGGATCTCACATTAAGACAATTTAAAAAAGAAGAATCCACCAATAAAATTGAATATCAAAATGAATTAGGTGAACTAAATGACAAATATAGTGAACAGAACAATATATGCAGATGGAATCAAAAATAGGAACAGCAGCAGTAAGTGGACAAAACCATAAACAAATAAGATTACCCAATGAAGCGTCTATTTTTATTGCAGAATTACAAGCACTGAAGAAGGCACTTAACCTCATAATCAATCTATTGAAACAAAAATATATCATATTTATAGACTGTTATCAATCTCCAGAGATATAAAGGAAAAAGAATCTAAGTGTTCCAGTGGAAAGATAAACTATATGAGAATGGCTGCTAAATGCTGAAGCAGCACAAAAATGACATGAGACGTTCTAAATTCAACAACTGTTTTATTCAAACTGCTACTCAATCCATTTTACTACATTTTTTAGATACTTCTCCAACTCCCAAAATATTGTAGGCCACTGCACAGAGTCTTTGGTTCTTTCTCTCTTGACTTTTGTTTAGACACATCTCCAGTTGCCTTGATCTATCCACTACCCTTCTCCTCATCCTTTCTTCTATCACTCCTATCTGATCTTGCTCCAGTTTTAACCTCTTGCGTCCTAATGGCTTCCCACCTTGCTTGGGGTGAAACGCTTAAAAAAAAGTGATCATTATGAAGTATCCTTAATATCTCTGGTTTACGTTTTTTTTTAGATATAACAATTCTGTACAGAAACTATAGTAAATTGGTGGCGCAGAATTAATTTCAACTCGGAACTATGGGTTAGGGTTTTTAAATTGAGATGAAATTAGTTCTGAGTTGAAATTAGTTCTGAGGTGAAATTAGTTTTGAGGTGAAATTAGTTCTGAGGTGAAATTAGTTTTGAGGTGAAATTAGTTCTGAGTTGAAATTAGTTCTGATGTGAAATCAGTTTTGAGGTGAAATTAGTTCTGAAGGGAAATCAGTTTTGAGGAGAAATTAGTTCTGATTTGAAATTAGTTCTGATTTGAAATTAGTTCTGAGGTGAAATTAGTTTTGAGGTGAAATTAGTTCTGAGTTGAAATTAGTTCTGTGGTGAAATTAGTTCTGAGTTGAAATTAGTTTTGAGGTGAAATTAGTTTTGAGGTAAAATTAGTTCTGAGGTGAAATTAGTTTTGAGGTGAAATTAGTTTTGAGGTGAAATTAGTTCTGAGTTGAAATTAGTTCTGAGTTGAAATTAGTTCTAAGGTGAAATTAGTTCTGAGTTTAAATTAGTTCTATCATTCATAAATTGTCCTGGACTGACAAATTCATTCTAACTTGGAAAATATAGCCTTATGCTTTCTTTTATTCTTCCTTCTTCATGTGTCCATCCATTTAATGTGAGGTGCATAATGTGAGGTTCAGAAACCATAGTAAATTGGAGGGTGCAGAATTAATTCGAATATATACTAAGGAATCTCTTTCACAAGTAAATAAAAAATTTCAAGTGCATAGCACTAGCTGTATCCCCAAATATACCACCTTGGATAATCATGGAACCAAAAGGGGATCTGACATAAAACCAATTTTAAAAAAGAAGAATCCGCCAATGAAATTGAATACCAAAATGCTTTTGGTGAACTGAACGACAAATATAGTGAATTAAGAACAATATATAAAGATGGAACCAAAAATGAAGATAAAAAAAATGCAGCAGCGTTCAGTGGACAAAACCATAAAGAAATAAGATTATCCAACCAAGCGTCTATTTTTACTGCAGAATTAAAAGCCCTGAAGATGGCGCTTGACCTCATGATCACTCTACCGATTCAAAAATATATCATATTTACAGGCTCTCTATCAAGCCTCGTAACTATAAAGGAATACGAATCTAACCATTCAAATATATATAACGGAAATATAAAGAGTTATCTTCTCTTGGATAGCAACTCATGAAAAAGCGGGTCAAATTGGCCACGACATCTTTTAACATGCAAATAGTGGAAGTAAAGATACCCTACACAGATTTTAAAAGGAAAATCACGGAATTCATAAGGGGAGAATTGCAAATAGAATGGGATTCTATTCAACATTATAAACTATATGAAAACCAACGAAATGTCAATCCAAAAATAAATTTAAAAAAATGTCAATAACTTGCCGAAAAGAAGAAACAGTGCTAAGCCGAATCCACATTGGATGTGCAAGATTAACCAACATACACCTGTTAAGAAATGCCCAAATGCAACTACTACAACTATGGTAGAACATATATTAATAGAATACAAAAAGTACAGTAAAATATGCAATAAATACTACCAAGGCACGGTGCACTAATGGATAGTGGCTTGGATTGAGGAATCGGAGAGCCGAATTCGAATTCCAGTCGAATCGATTACATTCACTTACATGCTAATACCATTGAGAAAGGTATAAATGGGTAAGTAGCAGGACAACTTTGGATGGTAACAGGTCTACCGCAGAAAAAATGGCAACTTACTGCGGGAAAAAAAACTGCCTTGTCAGTTATGTATCGAAATGATCGCCTAAGTGTGTATCATGCATGGCACATAATTTGCTGACTACCAAGGTCCAAACCTTAAAAAGTTGTTCTAAAACATAAACCGTACCAAAATTATAAGTTTCTTGAAACGTCTACAAAATAAATAAAAATCGAACAAAAGAAACTGGACTTTAACGAAGACGTTTCCAACAAAAAAAAAATGAAATAGTCACTAGGAGCCATGATTACAAAGGAATCGGTTTTGGCATTAAATAACTCCTAAGAGTTGATATATCTTTAAAAAGATACAAACGCACACACACTGACTTGCTATGTGAGCCGTGTTTAAGGTCACAATCATTTCTAGAGATTCTAATCAACTCTGAATTTGTTAACAAGCACCACACAAGCACCTTTCATGTGAAAAATATGGCTTTTATCTCTCTATATCAACCGCCAATGTGCTCACAGTTACTACTGAATTTCTCTATAAAGCTTTAGATAAGAAAGGCGAGTCGACGGCTTTGGCTTTAGAAGACGTTTGACAGAGTTTGGGACGTTGGCCTTCTTCACAAACTCAAAGGTTATGGTGTCTCTTGTTTATTAACCTGAAGTACTTAACAGTGGACAAAATGATATAACTAATTTTTGTGGATATTAATTTTAAAAAAAGATTATTTTATGAATATTAAAAAAAAATACTTATTTTATGAATATAAAAAAAACAACTTCTGAATACTAAAGTATTTGTTCCATATGAATATTGACTTTACTAATATTTTGAAAGAAGATTCCATAATGTACCCAAAATGGGGGGGTGTTGGAATTTTTGGGTAACCTGTAAGTACTTGTGAGCTAGCCAAAATGAGCTGACTCATTTTATAGTCCACTAATAGAAGCGTTAACCAATCAGAAAGCTCAAAATATTCAATGCGACGTGTATAAAGGCAGCCATTTTGTTTTTTCTCCCAAAATATCTTCACTGCCAACTTGATATCGAAGACTTAAAGAATTAACAGCCACTACTTTCTCCGAATCTACACTGCCAACCTCTGATATTGAAGAGATTACGGACTTCACTGGATTCCATATTCAGAGACTACGGCAAACATGGTCAACATCTCAGGCCAAATAGTTGACTTAATCCAATCCTTTTTCACAAGTCATGTCATAAACAGTTACGATTCTAGAGCTCTTCACATTAATGGGGACTCACCAAGGGCTCTATTCTTGGACCAACGTTGATTCTAATTTTCATAAATGATCTGCCTCATGTCTCATCAATTCTCAGCTCGGTATTTATACTGATGAGTCGATTATTTATTCATGTATTACCTGTAATTTCAATTGGCCCGACAAAGTAAAACAGACACCTGCTCTAGAAAATGGTCTCCAACCAGTTGTTAACTGAGATAAGAAATGGCAGGTAAATTTTACTGCCTCCAAAAACGAAACTGCCAGCATTTAATCATCATAGACATCCACTTTTGCCTATCATCAGCATGGCTGATACTAACCTCCAGGCGGTAACACTGCGTCTACTTCTGCACGGGCTTTCCACTAACATGAAATGGGAAGATTATATATTAAACAATTGCTAGGTCAACTGTTAGGTAAGTTTGTTTACTGCGTCGTGCCAGGTAATTTTTCTTGACAGAATCCATCTTGAACGTTTATTCTTTACTAGCAGTCTTCGCCCGCTCGCTATCGCTTCGCAAAGTAAGCAATATTCACTACACGAAATCTTTGAAACAAAAATTTTAAATGAACATTTCATTCATAAATTGGCTTGTTATAGTTAAGGAAAGTTTTACAAATAGATGCCAACTTGTTGAATACCAAGTAAAATGCAAATTTCAAACACTTTTCTGCACTATATAAGAAAATATTCCTAAACAGAACCATTTTTTTTATATATAAAATCAAAACAATCTTTGAATAAAAGAACACTAATGAAGGTCAGTTATTAATGAAATATAATGTTAAAATCAATATGCAAATTTAGTTAAACCTGAAGAGTGATAATGCCTAAAAGTAGATAATATAAAATACAGATACTGATCTTTTAGCGTATAAATTACTATAAATTAGAGCTGGGACATTTTAACCCCGGCATGAGTTGGATAATTGTGCTCCAATTTTGCATTTATTCATATAGATTCCATAATATAGGTTTTACTTAATTAGTTAACTGTTCAAATGTTGAATGTATAACTAATTCTAATTTCTATTTTCCCATCTTTGTATTATATTAATTTATCTTAGAAATTGTCCCCTGTTTTATCATCCATGAAATAAAAATAATTTTTGTACGGAAAATAAGGATCTACGTACATCAAATCGTCTTTCAACAAAGAAGCAGCAGAAGAATTATCGTTGAACTTTTAAAAGGTAAGCTTAAACATTAATTCAATACTTAAATGCAGTGATCAATTTTGAGTTCTTCTGTAGTTTATTGATGCCTATCGCATCTACTCTTCTGTAGCTATTGTGATGATGGCCAAACCAAAATTCTTCCAAAGGAGATAGATTAAATGCCGCTCAAATAGACTGCTTTGAAGCTAGTTTATAATAAAACGTGCACTGTAATTTTGGATACAAAAGGAAAATAATAGTTACTCCCCTTGAACCATGAAATCTGGTATCTCGACCTTCAGTCACTTCCCACCACTGTGATACTATTTCCCTATGTTTTTTATATAAATATTTCCATGGCTCTCCTCGATACCTCATATGCATGAATTTTAGCGCACTACTAGATTGGCAACTAGGTCCCATTTTTTCTGTAGAATTTCTATTTCAATAGTTAATTTTTTTGCACTTCTCGCCTGTGGGAATCTCTTCCGATTTCTCGCTTCTCTGTCACCTACGATCTTCAAACATTTAAATGCAGTATCAATCGATTTTTTCTGCCTTCCCGTGTGCCGTTTTTTTTATTAACTTTTCCCTTCACCAAAACTTTCTCATGCTCTTCCAATCTCAGTAAACCCTGGTGACACAGTGTTATTATCACCTTGCTTACGGTGAAATGATTTTTTTTTTAAATTTAGTGTTGGCTTTCTTTGAGATTTTCTTATCGTGTGTCCATTTTCATCATTATTAGTAATCCTGGTATTACTAGAATTATGATTGTATCCAAATGGCACGTTCTATTTCCAGGACCTTTTATTTGGAAATCTGTCATATTCGGGATTCTAAACTCACCGTACCCTTGTGAAAGGTATAAATCTATCTCTTCAACCACCAGCTATGGGTTAAATAGCAGGACCGACTGGGTCCTATAGCCTTGGTTGGCAACCAGTATACCGTACAAAGTAACAGCAATCCACTGCAGGAATTCTTCTGCCAAGTCAATCAGGAATGGAAAAGGGACTTGATCGCGTAAGTGTGCATCTAAGGAACGAAGGTTCCTTTCGGCCGATACAAATATATTTTTCTAGACATCTTATTGGTTTAGCTGTTCTAGCAGACATAATAAATCCATGCTTTCCCAAACTGTTTCCTTTTTTTTCGTACACGACTACTTTTTCTCATCTGTACCTATATTCCTTTTGAAGACCCGATTCTATTCAATTCGCCATGCTCGACAAAGAGCTAAAGTAATACAAGCCATATCAATTTTGAGGGAATCTGTTTGTGCGTGTACAAGTGAGTTACTGATGTGACCTTGAAAATCAAAACAAAAAATGAAAGAACCACAGTAGTTGAGAAATGGGAAGAAGTGAATAGAAATAGAGAGAGAGAGAGAGAGAGAGAGAGAGAGAGACGAGATGTGCTGACACATAATACCATATACTTAATTTTCAGTGAAAACTCACGTAGTTGTATATTTTATACCAGAGCCAAAAGTCTTATTCGAACCCTAGTATTTAAAAATCGTTCTTTATTTTATACCAGAGCCAAAAGTCTTATTCGAACAACTAGTATTTAAAAATAGTTCTTTATTTTATATATGAGCCCAAAATGGACCTGATCGCCCTAGTGTGCATCTAAGAAACGAAGGTTCATTTCGGCCGATACAAATATATTTTTCTATGCATCTTATTGGCTTACCTGTAGTAGCAGACATGAGAATTCATACGTTCCCAAACTGTTCCTTTTTTTCTTTTTCTTTTTCGTACACGACTACTTTTTCTCATCTCTACCCATATTCTTTTTGAAGGCACGATGCTATTCAATTCGCCATACCTGGCAAGGTGCTAATGTAATACAAGCCATATAAATTTAAATACCTGTTTGTTGGTGTACATGTCTAACTGAGTTACTGAGATCTTCAAATGTACATTTCGTGAACACTATCGCTTAAACATTAGAGTCATTGCATGACTGAAATTGATTAAATTAAAAAACGATTATATAATAAAAGTTTTCTCTCATTCTGAGCTATGATCCATTACATCACACCATACTTTAATTCCGTTACATTCATTTACATCGAAATACCCTTCGGATCGATCTCTTCTCCCCTTAGCTATAGGTTGAATAGTAGGAGTGACTGTGTCCTATAGCCTTGGTTAGCAACCAGTCCACTGTAGAAACAAGCGGCAACTTACTTCTGGTCTTTGGGGAGTTGCCATCCACACCCAGGCTATTAAACATGGTTCTAACTCAAGAAATGAAGGCCTCGACCCCCCCCACACACACACACACAAGTCGTGGGTAACCATAATAATACTTTATACTTTCTTGTCGACCGGGAGGACACGCCCTTCCGCAGGAGCCGATGAAAATAAATGTCCAAAAAGCTCTTGATGCAGACATTCAAGATCATATAGGTGACACGCATAGCATCCTTTTTTAAGTTTGTGGCAGAATTTGCCTGAGTGGCAAGGGAGAATTATATCATATGCGAAGTCATCGTAACAGAGCACTAAGCAAATAAAAATTGTTATTAATTACTGATAATTCATGGCAATTTTGTGAACATGTCAATGTCTTACATTGAAAAGACATGCAAACAGTCACAAAAATAAACTTAATAACTAAAAAAAATCTATATTTCTCTATCTGCCATCTTTGTGCTAAAGGTTGTAAAGGCTTGTCCAGTTAAAGAGCCACGGTTGTACAACTATGTCTTTCAATGATATATTGTGGTCATGCTTGACAAGATGTCAGCCATTATATATATATATATATATATATATATATATATATATATATATATATATATAAAAAAAACAAAAAGAAAACTTATCTGAAACGACACGTTAGCGAATTACATTTTGCAACAAATATTTATAAACAGAAGTAAAAATATCGTTATATTTACAGAATTTTCGAATTTAAGACCTCTCATAAATATATATTGGTCTAGCTGTAAAGTCAAGGTAAATTATGGAGGACGCTAAGTGATGTAATTTAATGTCTAATAAACAAAAGTGAGTAAATATTATTATTATTTAATACATAAAATTTATCAAATACGTTAGTCATACATAGAAATAAATTTAACCAGAATGCCACAATTAAATGAAGTTCCAATAACTTGAACAGATTTTAATGTGAATTAAGCTTAAGCAACATATGATTTTTTTTTCTTTTTCTTTCAGATTTGGCGGATTAATTAAGCGATATTATTTTTCACACTTAATTACTATGATTAAAATAACATGATCTAATAGGGAAATAAATTTTCCCCAATAACACTGATTTATTTACTGTTGACTTTGATTCATCTTAATGAAACAGCCTTATATACGATCAGTCTTAATCAAACATGCTTTAATAAAATAAAAAATGATTTACTTAAACGGTTCTTGAGAGTGCCGTTATCGAATCATCCCAATACATAAATCTCTACCCTGTATTTAAAAAAATACCTCCTTTCCTGAAATAATAAACATTTCTTTTCCAAGACAATATGTATATATGTATGTTTAAGTATTTATGTATGTATATATGTATGTATGCATATATATATATATATATATATATATATATATATATATATATAAGATGGCTAATTTGAAAAAGTTCTCTTATTTAAAATATATTATACATAAATTAATCCCAAACTGAAAAAATATAGATAATAATTGCAATATAAAAAAATCAACAACATTTACTTATTTTTATTTATTAGACATCGGGCTTAACCTGAAAAACTAACGACATTTTTACTTGTGTTTAGAAATAGGTGTTGCAAAATAAAATCTTCACATTTGTTCGGCAAAGTCTATCAGTGGACGAAAGGCGGCGGTAAAGACCCTGACGATCCTTATAGGTTAAACCTAGGTAGATTTTTCTGGCTCTTTAGGTTCATATTTAGGTTTGCTCTACTTAGTGTATTGAGCACTTTACTTAGTTACTTTTGCTTTACTCGTCTTGGAGGTTTATTTTCTTTGAATTCTGAGCTTGGATTCTGGAAGGTAGTTTTCGTCTCAATTTCATGTTCTTAGTTCTTTCTTTTTATCCCTTATTTTCCCTTGGGCATTGCTTTGTTCAGTTACAAGCCAAAATACCTAAGGTTTTTTTCCAAACGAGTATAACTATATATATATATATATATATGTGTGTGTGTGTGTGTATATATATATATATATATATATATAGTTATACACGTTTGGAAAAAAACCTTAAGTATATATATATATAAATATAAAAGTGAACATAGAAGTCAACACTTAGGGCGACAGTCTGGTTCATATATATGCAATCGTCAGGCCACGACGATTGCATATAGCATGAAACAGACTGTGTTGACTTCTATGTTCAGTTTTATATATACACATGCTCTATCTCTGATATTGAGCACTTTATTCCATAAATATAGCACACCTTAAGACTATATTTCTTTATATATATATATATATATATATATATATATATATATATATATATATATATATATATATATATATATATGGTGTGCCGTATAAATTGTCACCATTTTATCCATTAATTTTCGTCATGTGCATTGTTTTTGATTTTGTGTACTGCACAGCATATTAAGTTCAGTTGGGTTACCGTCTGTAAGAAAAGGAGCACACTGTAGCAATTCACTCCCCTAGAAATTTGGAAACTAAATGCTCTTTTCTTTGGCACCGGAAGTACCAATACGAAGATTTCAGCGTATTTGGGTGTCAATCTGAGAACGGTACAGAGGATTCTGAAAGAGTCGGATGAGTCTAATGGTGATTCCAAAGGTACGGCATCTCGGAAAACTCACTCTGATCGTTCTGGTAAAAAAAGAACTCCAGGATTTTTAAGTTCCTGGCCATGATTGACAACGAGCTCTCCAAGGCAATCGGGTACATAGAGTCACGGGAGTGTCTGAGGTTCATATCAGGCAGGTAGTGCATAAAGACATTCGGCATTTTTCATACAAGATGAGAAAGGGCCAATATTTAATCCAAGCCGTGAAGGACAATAGAAAATTCCGTGCTACGAAGCTTTTGAACAAACTTAAGAATTCCATCCATGCTTTTGTTTTTCTCAGACGAGAAAAATATGTGCCGAGAGTGATGAAAAACAAATATCCAGTCAACATCATGTTGTGATCGCTAGTGATGGCGATATTATGCCTCCATTCATCTTCCCACAGGGTCTCAGGTTCAACACGGAAGACTACATCAAGTTCCTTGAGGGGCTAGTGCTGTCCTGAGTGAAGAGTTTGGTTGCTGGAAGGTCCTATATCCGACAACAGGTCTCTTCACATGCAGGGGAACCCAGTCGTCGTTGTCAGACAATTTCTGCGACCACACCAACTCTTACATCTGGCCATCTAACTCTCCAGACTGAAATGTGTAGGTTGCAGTTGTGGGAGAGAGACCAACAAAACTCTTTGTAATACCAAATGTGAACTGAAGGCAAGCATTATGGCAGCATTCTCCAAATTAAACAAGGAGACCGTCCAGAAGCGATGCAGGAGATTACAAACTCGTCTGGAGGCCGTGGTTGAACCAATGGCAATTTTATTGAATAGATGTAATCTTTCTTATTTCAAGATGTTTATGTGTAATCTTGGTAAATATATCTGTCAAAATGAGATGTCAATGTTATTTCCATTTTTGCTTAATTTAGACGACAATTTATCCATCGCACCCTATATATATATATATATATATATATATATATATATATATATATATATATATATATATATATGTATGTATTGTTGAAATAAACTATTTAAATTGGATTTTCTTCTACGTTCTGGCATTTGCAAAATGTTCTCATTTGAGGAGCAATTTGTTTTATTTAAGGGACTGCGAACCTTAAAATTAATAATGCACCAGAGATCCGAAGCTAGCCTCGTATATAAGAGTAAACCTATCCACTTATTCGTTTCTTTTAGATCTCTTGTGGGTTTTACCTTCCATCGGCCTTATTGAACTTGTCATCCATCAACGGAACCCCGTTTCTATAATGAACTATTTCATCGAAAAGTCACACCTGTCCGTTAACTGACATTAACTCCTACGCATAACCAGTCGTGCGTGAAGCAGGAATACCCTCCACTAACTAGTCTTGTTTCCTTGGCACCTTAAACTGCATGACCCGACCCAACCCAGCAATCCTTTGGACCTCCGACACACAACACCCATCATATTGTGCTTCCAAATGTTCTGTTTGAGCAGAAAAGAAAATAGATTAAGTGTTCTCGGGATGATCCATATTTATAATTATTTATTTACCTATTATTATTATTATTATTATTACTATTATTATTATTATTATTATTATTATTATTATTGTGTTTATCGTTGTTGTTGGTGTTGTTATTTATTGCTTTGTTCGGGGACGCCATGAGCTGAATTTCAATGTACAATCGTGCGTCATGTGACAAATAA